AATGATTCATTTGGCAGTATTGAAATAAATACTTGTTCGAATTAAATGCATTTTTTTTCAAGTGCATATATTAATGAAATCAAATGTCTAAGTGACCTAATCATGGGTCTAATAATAAATACGTATCAATCTCTCGGGATAACTGTACTTTTCTCGCAAACGTCTAGAGGCGAATTCTTCGATGAAAGCTGTATTTTTTAGTCACGCGGACGAAGAAACTATTCCATTCGGTCCGAAACACAGTTCGATTTCGGAAATAAATTGGTGGGCACCTCCTCGCGTGAGAAAGATTATTCAACATTCGGCATAGTCGCTTTGCCAGAAATAGCACGAGAAATACCCCGTACGACTACCGTAAATTCAAATCGGTGATCATTATCGAGAGTACCTTGAATACGGGCTACATTTACGGAAAATCTGTATGTTAATAAGATTGTCTGGTTTAAAAATATAGTTGACGATCTATCAAGCGCGTAACAGTAAAGTGTAGGTTCTCAACTTGATAGCCTATCGATTTAAGATCGCTTTAGACTTAAATACTTTGTAATTCTTTGCGCAATTTTGCCGCATATTTCATATTCATTTATTCATTTTTACGCTAAAGTATATTTTATAATATATTATTATTATGTATAGCTTATTTAGTGTTTTTCTCTAATATAAAAAATTTTAAAAATTAATTCAACTATTAAAAAGTCAAATCTGTAATTAATTTATAATTGATGCAAAGAATTTCGATGCAGAATTATCTCAAGTAATTTCTTGAATACGCATTGTATAATAAATAAAACTTGTCACGGAGCGAATAAAAAAATAACCATAAGCAAAATATTAATAAAGAAAAAAATCTTGTGTTATCTCTAATATAAAAAACAAATAAAAAATATTAATTAAACAATAAAAAATCTAAATCTGTAGAAGCTAATTTATAATTCTGATGCAAAGAATTTCGATGCAGAATTATCTCAAGTAATTTCTTGATCACGCATTGTATAATAAATAAAACTTGTCACCGAGCGAATAAAAAAAATAACCATAAGCAAAATCTTGTATATTATCTCTAATATAAAAAACAAAAAAAAAATATTAATTAAACAATAAAAAAATCTAAATCTGTAGAAGCTAATTTATAATTCTGATGCAAAGAATTTCGATGCAGAATTATCTCAAGTAATTTCTTGATCACGCATTGTATAATAAATAAAACTTGTCACCGAGCGAATAAAAAAATAACCATAAGCAAAATCTTGTATATTATCTCTAATATAAAAAACAAAAAAAAAATATTAATTAAACAATAAAAAATCTAAATCTGTAGAAGCTAATTTATAATTCTGATGCAAAGAATTTCGATCCAGAATTATCTCAAGTAATCTCTTATAAAAACACATTGTACAAGAGATAAAACTCGTGACCGAGCGAGTAAAAAAAATAGTCGAAGATGAAATATGAATAAAAGAAAAAAACGTCGACTATATCGCGCAAGAATGAATCTTAAAGACGTGCCGAAACATAATGAGCGTCTCTCCGATAGACGTCTTGCGAGTCGCTTAAGCAAACTTCGCACAAGCCAGAGTCGACAGCGACGTCCACTTACCTCATTAAGCCACCCTCGGACCTCGGAGGAGACCGCGTGGACCGCACCCGGGGAGGATGAGCGAAGGGGAGTCTCGTAAGATAGATTGAAAATACCCGGAGGATGTGGTAGCCGGTGACCGGTGATCCCTTGTGCAGATAGTAATTAACTTGCGCGAAGCTTTTGCCGACGCTGGCTGCGCCAGAGACCGTCGGTCGAATTACTGATGCAAAACTTGCGACCTCTCGGCACCTCGTCTATTTCACAAAGGCCGCGCAATTAGTCGCCTTTCTCGTTCTTCTCCCTGTGATCAAGCGTAGAGAAAAATGATTAAAACCGCGTAGCAGCTACCGCGCGGAATATTGCGGATTTTTGCGAAATGACTTTACCAGCAACCACGCTTTGAGGTCAAATAAATTGATAATTCAGCTAACTCCTGGCCTCTTATAATGACGAAACTCGATTTATTTTATATTCATCTTTAAATGTCAAATATCAATTGTCAATTTGTGTGTGTAAAGAAAAGGAATACTATAATTATAATTTTTTATGAAAAAAAAAAACATCGTGGAAAATTTATCTCATTCTCAAAATTAAATAAATTTTTTTCTGACGTTTCAAATATTTTTAAATACAAAATTTAGAATTTTTAGTACTGAATAGATCTATACAAAAATTACTACATATTTATATAAAAAATAAACAATAGGAAAATAATAGAAATACATTGAGATCCCATCCATATATATGTAATTTAAAAATTTATGGCAATTATCTCTATTGCGCCAGAAAATGTTTTAAGATAAAATAAATGATAATTCAGTTAACTCCTGGCCTCTTATAATGACGAAACTCGATTTATTTTATATTCATCTTCAAATGTCAAATATCAATTGTCAATTTGTGTGTGTAAAGAAAAGGAATACTATAATTATAATTTTTTATGAAAAAAAAAACATCGTGGAAAATTTATCTCATTCTCAAAATTTAATAAATTTTTTTCTGACGTTTCAAATATTTTTAAATACAAAATTTAGAATTTTTAGTACTGAATAGATCTATACAAAAATGACTACATATTTATATAAAAAATAAACAATAGGAAAATAATAGAAATACATTGAGATCCCATCCATATATATGTAATTTAAAAATTTATGGCAATTATCTCTATTGCGCCAGAAAATGCTTTGAAGTAAATTAAATGATAATTCAGTTAACTCCTGCTTCTTATAATGACGAAACTCGATTTATTTTATATTCGTCTTCAAATGTCAAATATCAATTGTCAATTTGTATCTATAAAGAAAAGGAATACTTATTATAATTTTTTATGAAAAAAAAACATCGTGGAAAATTTATTTCATTCTCAAAATTAAATAAATTTTTTTCTAACGTTTGAAATATTTTTAAATACAAAATTTAGAATTTTTAGTACTGAATAGATCTATACAAAAATTACTACATATTTATATAAAAAATAAACAATAGGAAAATAATAGAAATACATTGAGATCCCATGCATATATATTTAATTTAAAAATTTATGGCAATTATCTCTATTGCGCCAGAAAATGCTTTGAAGTAAATTAAATGATAATTCAGTTAACTCCTGCCTCTTATAACGACGAAATCGATTTATTTTATATTCGTTTTCAATGTCAAATTATCAATTGTCAATTTGTATCAATACTTATTATAATATGAAAAAAAAAACATCGTGGAAAATTTCATTCTCAAAATTAAATCGGAAATATTTATTACAAAATTTAGAATTTTTAGTACTGAATAGATCTATACAAAATCTACATATATAAAAAATCTCGTAATAGAAAACATTGAGATCCCATTTATATATTAATTTAAAAATTTATGGCAATTTCTCTATTAAAAATAGGTAAAATAATGATTTCAGTTAACTCCTGCCTCTTAGATAAATTCGATTTATTTTATATTCATTTTAATGCCAAATTATCATTGGTCAATATCAATAATGTATACAAATTAATTTTTGTGAAAATGTAAATTTATTTTAAATTTGAAATATTTTTAAAGACTATGAGATCTATACAATAGAAAATAAAATAAAAACACTAGAAATCCCACGTGCATATATATAATTAAAAATTTTATGGTAATTGCCTCTATATTCTATAAAAGAATAAAATTGCCGAGAGATCAGAATCAGGGAGGACACAATTTATTTAAAAATGCTCGTACATATGCATATACATATATTAACATGATTAAAAAAATGTGTCAGATAGATTCAGTATTGAAAGAGTTAACTGTTACAGCAGAAATTTAATTTTATTATGTAAATTAGATAAATGTATAAAAAGAGAGAAATATTATATAATTAAGTAATTTATACACCGACAAATTTAAATTATACTTAGCTTTGTCAATATAAAATAAATAAAAGAACACTATATCGATGCTTAAAAAAATAAAAAATAAAATTTTTACAAATCATTCTGTCAGTCGAAAAAAAACGAATTCAATTATCTGTAAATAATTGCGGCCAAGTTCGATTTAGATATTCTAAAACGTGTGCATTTCTCGAAGACATTCTCAGACACTTTCGCAGTTTCTTCCTAATTATAGATTGTTAGGAATGAACTAGTACCAGAAACGATCGTCTGGAAGCGACACAAAGTGCGGGAACAAAAGGACTACGATCACTTCCATTTCAATGAGAAGTGAAACTTGCGGAACGGAAATTCTTCATCCGCCAAATGAAAGACAAGAGGAACATCGCTAAACCAACTTTCATAGAAAGTTTTTTGGGAAGCTGCGCAATCTGCGGCTTGCAAAGAACAGTTTGCAAAGAACCGAAAAAAAGAAGAGCGGAGAAAAATCCGAAAGAAGGCATATAAAAGTTTCTAGTGCCATAAGAGATTGTCTAAGATAAGAAGTGAAATCAAGTGATATCTCGTTCGCGGATTCTCTTCCGCAACTCTATCTCGATGTTATAAGCACTCTTTATAAGCTGAAAATGCGGTACTGCAATTTTACAATTTATAAAGATTTTAGTATAATCTTGATACAGAATAGTCAAAACATTTTTTCAAATAAGTAAATCAATTATATTTTATTTAAAAAAAATATATATATATATATTAATATTTAATATATTCAACTTATATTTTTATATATAAAATTTATTATTTATTAATTTATATATATATATATAAATCAATTCTATTTTATTTTTAAAAAATATATATATTTTAATATTTAATATATTCAAATTTATATTTTTTATATAAAATTTATTATTTATTAATTTATCTCTATATATCTATATATATATATATGTCTATATAAATTACTATATTTTATATATTTTTTTTATATATGTATATTTGTGTGTACATACATATTTGGAAAGCAGCAGCTGAAGAAACATATCATCTTATAGGATCCGGTGGTATATCGTGCGAAGAGAAACAGATTATCCTGAACGAACACAATCGATTGAGGCAACTAGTGGCACTGGGACACATACATGGTCAACCTGGAGCAGAAAATATGATGGAAATGGTAAGTCTTTATATTTTTTAAAGATTTTAAAAATTTTAAAAGAAATACTTTTTCGAGCGATTTAATATAATAAATATATCACACATATAGATATACATATTTGTAGTATTTTTAAAAAAGATTAAAAGTAGATATAATTACATTTATTCACAACAAGTTGAGTAAGAGAAAGAACCACTTAATAAACTCAAGAAATATCAAGTTTGTCTGAATTAAAAGCAATTCTCGATTTTAATAAAGCAAATAATTTGCTTCCTCTTATTTATCGCATGCAATATGAAGAGAAAAGATTATCTTACAGTTTTCGCTCCAATAATATTTACAAAAGCGATGCGTATAATAATCAAGTTTATGTCGAGAAAACCGATTGCAAATTTGCTAAAAAAAATCTCTACGACAATTCAGTAATTTCCGAGGTGTATCGCACAGGTATAATAGGCAAATTTATGACGAAAACTTCATTTTCCAGCATGATGAGAACGTTCTCTTATCTCGCGGCATATTTATTATTTGCAAAAAAACGCACTCTCGCACAATGTGCACACTAATTTACCCGATAAGCCACATGACGAATACCAAAGTTGAAGTGAGTTTTACAACTTTGTAATATCCGCAGACGTATCGCGCTGCTGCGATTAATTCGACGTGTAGGTTACTAATTGCTGTTACAGATATGGGACGACGAACTTGCCGCGATAGCACAAAGATGGGCGGATCGTTGTGCCGAGTCGCATGACAGCCTAAAAAATGTCCGTAAGTTCGATTTTATTAGCGATCATATATTTGCATATTCGCGAAATGAACATTATAATATTCCTAGTACATTATATCACAAGAACAACATCCAAAATTTCACAATATCAGAAAATAGCATATATTATATAACCCTTGTAAATATAAAAATATAAAAAATATCAAATAGATATAATATACATAAAAAATTATTAGCAAATACAATAAAGTAATATAAATTTTATTAATATAATAAACTTTTTTTTAGGAATTTTAAGGAATTATATATATATAGTATATAAATTCTTATTATTTATCTTATTATATTCTTATTTTCTTATTATTATTATAATATTAAATAAAAAAATATAAAATAACAATATAAATAATATAATCAATAAATTCAAATAATATATAATATATATAAAAAATATATATACCATAGATTGATTGACAAAGTAAATTAAAATATGTAAAGTTATAATCAACTGCTACCTCTTTTTTTTACTGGAATAAAAAAATTAGTATCTTAGAATTGAAAGTTATTTAGCTTTTTTAGAAGTTTTAACCTCAAAAGTTACAAAATTTGAGCAGCATGTGAGTTCGTAGAAAGAACATTTATTTTTATTTTTAGGGAAGAGCTGATTTTATATACGTTCACTCAGTTCGCTCTGAAAGATAAGAATATCGAATTCCGCTTAGCAGCAGAATTAGGTGCTTTTTCTGAGCTTTTAAATCGATACGGTTTGAATTTTTAAGCTCTATCTCTTAAAAGCAAAGCAGCACTTAAATTATTCGAAAGAAAGTATAAAATAAAATGAAGACTTCCTATCCATACATTATACGTATAATTCTAAGAATATTCTGACTTTGACATTGCAGAAGATATCCTTACTCTTTTTTCGGCACAAGAATAATTATATTTCAGACTATATTAAAGACTATATTTAAAAGTGCAATAAATTTTCCATTTATCGACTATGATGTTTTTTCTTTCTTTATGAATGCATTATAAAAATTACAAAATTATTACATATAGTTCTTTTTGTGTAATAAACATGATATTTCCGCGCAAAGTTTACTAAAAAATTACAATATACGTGTATTTTACGATTCATATAGAGATTGAAACATTTCGTCTCTCCTCCTCATTCTTAAAAAGGAGAATACATTTTTTTCTAAATAACGAGCTCAAATTGTTGACTTACAAGATTCGTAAGTTTTATAAAATGCTTAATTCTAAGATATTAATTTTTTTTTATTCCATCTTAAAGAGTGGAAGATCAGATAAATAGATTAAAATGTGTAAGCAATAATATATTTACAATATTTAAATATTATTAATATTTGTTCATATCGAAGCAATGGCAAGTATATAAACTTTTAATTACTTTTAATAACTTTTATCAAAAATTTGCCCTAAATTTATTTGTAAAACAGTAATTAAATAACAATGTTATAATAGTATAAATGTCAATTACAACTATATATATAATTGAATTATTAAAAATAAAATGCACAAATACATTTGACATGCCATTTTAAAAGTGGAAATGTCACGAGTAATCCCAATAAAACTCATGCAAATTATAACAACGTTTATATCACAAGAAGTCGTAGTTACAAATCGTATTACGTTGATTTTATTGAATGTCTCATAATTCACGTGCCCTCATAAACAGCAGCTCGCTGCTTGATTAAGCTTTTAAAGTATCCTCCAGCCCCGATATCTCTTTTATCTTTTATCATTCCACGTGAGTAATATTGTAATTTTTCTTTCGAGAGAGAATGCTTGAAAAAGATAAAGTCTATCACCACCGTATGTACATTTTATACATCAGCGTTAATGCAAGAGCTTCTTTTATTTAAACGAATTGCGACAATATGAAATATCAAGAGTTAAACCGTTGGAAAGGTTATTACACAATTATTAAAAGAAAAATAAAATTCTTGAACGATAATCGATTTATCGAACGGACAAAGTAAATTAATGCTTGTGAAATAATGCTATTAAAATCTTTTGGCTCTTTAATGCTTTTAGAATTTATATTGTTGTATGCGTATCTTCTCTAAAAACAAATATTATAGAAATTTTCAATAAATCTCTCAACAAAATTGACAGAAATAGTTTTTTTCTCGATAAAAGTATACAAATATCTGGATCTGATAAAATATAAAAACTATCATTTGAAAAAATTTGTTTGATTTTCGCCTCGCTTCTCTGTTGGCGGAACGTACCGTTTCGAAAAAAATGTAATGCATTTTTGTCTGAGGTTTACAAAGAGGATTGATTCATGAGTGATCACAGCATTTAATTCGCAGGTAGATTTGCAGTAGGACAGAACATAGCTCGTACATGGACAACTAGATCCCCGGACCTTACGATGACGATCCGAATTGGAGGAGACAAATTGTTAATTGGTTCAACGAGGTGCAATACATCACTCCGGTTATAGCAAAACGACCGCCCACTACACACAGGTCTGTCATATACTGGAAAAAATATGTAAAATTACATTAAAAATATGGAAAATTATATAAATAATAATTGCACAATAAATTATGAAAATGTTATATATATATATATATATTTCCATTATTTATCGTATTATTTTACACTTATTATTTATGTAATTTTACATATTTTTTGTAATATATTACACTTATTATTTATGTAATTTTACAAATTTTTATGTAATATATTACATATATTGTAATATATTACACTTATTATTTATGTAATTTTACATATTTTTATGTAATATGTTACATACTTTTGTTTTGCAATACCTACGTAGAAGTAAAATCGGAAAATATCAGAAATTTAAAAATTCATATTTTCTGTCTACGCATCAAACTGATTCATGATGTAAAAAAAAATCTTTACTTGGAAAAAAATTTTTATTAGTACAGTAAAATTCACCATTATTTTATAACGATATGTAAACGACTGAACTTTTTACTGTCGTAATCAATTATTCGAAATTACAGTAAGATTTGATTTTTTTGTAAAAATAAAAAAATCTTGCCGGAGAAATTAATAAAAATTCAAATTTGCCGTTAAAGTAAAATAATATATTCTTAATAAATATTTTTTGCGAAATTATTGCTGCTTTAATAACGGAATAAAAATTAATTGGTTTTTGTAACGAAATAATATTTGCAAATTCAACAAAACGATTTTCAGCAAAGTTATTTTTAATTAATAAATTTTTTTTACTATACGCATAAAAACTGACAAGATTTGCAATAACAAATTAATATAATATAGCAACTATGATCTGAATTTTTTTTCTTCTTAGATAGTCGAACCGTAAAGTAGATTAAAGATGATTGATTTTATTCGTAGGTCAGTTTCAAAATAAGTTTAAAAAAAATAAACGCAATTTATAGACCTGATCGGTCTCCGAACTGCAATTAATTCTTATTTTATGAACTTGTGCTGTTGTTTTATATGAATTTTCATGAGACGTCATTTGCGTAAGAACTTTTTAACGACGAGTTCGTCTTCCGGAAAAAGCTTGTTTCATTAATCATACTACAGAATATTTTTCATATTATTAAAAACGCGTAGAAGAGAGAGAAATACTCAAATTTAACTTAATTTATTTTAACAAAAAACAAAACATTTATTATATATTTTTAAAAACTTCTAAAAAATACTTCCAATAATCGATTATATAAGACTGTTGACCGCGATCTTTTTTGTCAAAGAAAATGAAACTCTGTGCACAAAAATTAGCCAAAGAAAGTGTTATCAAAACACTCAAATACACTCAACTTTTGCTCTTGTGGTACTGAACTTTTTTTCAAAACTTTACAATGAAACACACCTCTCTGTGGCAAACCGCCTGTATCAATCTCTCGAGACAGGGTATTCAAAGTAATCAAAGCGCGGATTCTTTTCGTGTTCGCGTGCGCGAGCAATTTACAAGTCCTTAAACGGCAGGAAACATTCTGAATTAATTCCAGTTGGTGTGGAGCGACACTTTCCTGCTGGGATGTGGATATTCGTTTTACTACGATCCTGCTCGCGGATACCAAGAATTACGTATGCAACTACGGACCAACGTAAGAATCCTATTTCAAAATACTAGCTCCTTTTCTTCCCTTTCCCGTTTTTGTTTTAATATTAAAATATGGAAATGGTATCAAGGCATATTACAGGACTAGATTTTTATTAAACAAAAAAATTATTCAGGAGACTTTTTATAATTTCAGAACACTTTCTTTTGTAAACGCGGATGACGCTTCGATGTATCAAAAAAATACAGTACCCTCTATAAGTTTGGAAACACCTTACATTTGACAGTTAAACAATCGTACGGCAGCGATTTGTGTAGATTTTTTGTATCAAGAAATCGTAAAATATTTTAATGACATTTTTATTTATGACAGATCGCTGCCATGCGGTTGTTTAACTGTCAAATGTAAAATGTTTCCAAACTTGTGAAGGGTGTATGCAATAAATAACAAATGTCCATTTATAAGACTGTTTTTTGTTATTACAATTAATTATTTCAAATAATGTACTGATAAAAATATCCCATTAAGTTTATTCTTGCATGTTACGAATATCTAATTAAAGAATATTTCTTCTCTTTAGAGAGTTTTTCTCTTAAATTAAGAAGATCCTTTTGACAGATCTGTGCAGACTTTTTGTATAAATAAATCATAAAATAAACATAAAATATTTAAATGTGACATTTTTATTTATAACAGATTTTAATTGTAAAGTGTAAGGTGTTTCCAAACTTATGGAGGGTATTGTAACTCTACGGGTTTTTTTCAAATGATTAACTTTATATATTGGAAAAACAGAGAAAGGTGTAAAAAAGAAAAAAAGAGAACAGAAAAAATTTGTATAACAGCATTCCAGTTAAATCAATTGGAATGACATATTTTTGAACATTCACGAAAAATACAAAAAAACGGAACAATATCAAGATTATTTCAATCGATAAAATTCAAACTTTTTATTTCTAAGATTTTGTTTTAATTTTGAATATAATTAATAATTTAAATTCTGCGAATTGTTACGAAATTACTAACGCCATACTTTTTAATTGCATAACAGCAAAAAACCAATTTCGATTTATTCTAAGATAAAAATATTAGTAATTCCCTTTTTAAAAGTACGATTAAAACAAAAAAGAGGAAATTAAGAACGATAAAGACATCGAAAATTAATATAAATCAAAGCAACAAATAACGATAAGAATAATTATTTAAAAAATAAAATAAATAACAAAGTGCAGATATTCAGTAAAAGATGTAAAATCAAAATTCTGGGTAACTATCAAATGCAAATCAAAAATTCTATTCAGCACATCTGTTACAATTACAACTTCCCTTGGAATTTTCTTTTTCAAGATTTCTTTTCCAAGATAGGAAAATAGAGTTAGAAATTCTGCTCGCTGCTTAACCGAGCAGCAACAACTATACTGAATTTTAAACAATTTACAGCCTTAACATGCACTAGAACCAGACCATGACGTGTACTAAAAATCGATAATCGAACAGTTTCGTTGTCGTGTAAATAAAATAAGCGTGCTCTACAAAGCGAATAATAGAACTCTGGATGTAGTTTGATTACACAAATAATTAATAATTCTATCATCGATTTAAGCGATTTTTAATGAAGTAAATCGAGTTTGGCCATCCATTTTTTAAACACTCTTGTATATTATATATATATATATATTTTTTTTTAGTAGGTCATCTCATTTATATCATTCATCTAAATTATATTGTAAATGTCAAATAAACGCTTTAAAAGATGCACGGAGAGAATTTACCCTGAAAAATCATGATAATCGTGAGACAAATTTAAATATATACATAATAAATTTTCTTATGTACATAGTAAAATTAATCAAACATATTTTATATCTTATCGTAAAAATATTAATCAGAGAAATTCTTGTAAAATTGTTCCAATAGCGTATTATCCCATGATTACCATTTCAGGGTAATTTCTAAGAGAAAAGTCTCTCTGTGACAAGGAGAAATCTTTTTCTCGATGCACAAAGAATCGTATGATAAAAAATCATTGTCTTAATTATTGTTATAGCGGAAATGTAATTGGTGTTCAACCTTACCAATTGGGTCAACCTGCATGCGGCGATTACGGAATGTCCTACAGCAACAGATACGCTGGATTATGTTGTCAGTCTCATAACTATGAACATATATAATAATAGCATTACATAATATAATCTCGACATATTATTACATTTTGATTTATTTGATATAATTAAATGCAATTTTGTCTCTGATTTTCTATATACCGAAAAAAATGTTAACTTGACTAAATCTTTCTAAAACTAATCAATTTTTTTAAAAAACTCCATCTCATCTCGACTAAGAGCCAAACGCGATGTTATTGCGACAAATTAATATTTAGAAATTTTTGGAAACTGAGGAATTTGAATCCTATGGTTGGGATCTCAGAAATTCCCCTTGTTCCTTCTCTTAACATCCCCTGTAAGAAAAAAGACGAGAAAATCATATTTTGTTAATTAACATATAAAAATATTTTAATTAAATATAGCATATTAAATCTAACAAAGATGTATTCGATTTAAATACTAATCAAGTTACAATTTTTTTCAGTATAAAATAATTTTTATATAGGATTTTGATTTCTCATAAAAAAATGTGTGAAATTAAATATTCATTTATTTTACTAATTAATACTGACGTATTTTTCATCCAGATATGGATGGATATAATCAATGAAATTTTCTAATTATTTTTATTTAAAAATAGATTCAGTTTAGTATCCAGAATAGTATTTTTTTTTTTTTTTCATTAAAAAAATGTATACTGTGTATACAAAAATCTCTTCCGTATTTTATTCAAATTTCTTTCACGCTCATTTTTTGACAAGCACACACATATATGTTAATGAACATTAATGTAATTACAGCTCGTGGAAATTATTATCATCTCGGAGCTCTATGTGTACATGGCTAATATTATTAAACACATGGATATTTATGAAGAACATCACCTCAGATTCCAAAATATGCCGAATACGGACTACTTGTTTGCATTATCTCTTCTCAAAGCTCCAGGAAAATAAACAATTACGGTGGCGAATAGTTCTAACTAAAACATATAATAAACTAAAACAGTCAGTTGCTATTACGCAGATAATAATTAACAAAAGTTTCGTCGCGATTAAAAAACAGTTGATTCGCTTATGCGTGATATCTCAATTTATTATACACGACAATGAGCGAATTATGCTTATTACCATGTAAATATGTGTCTACGAAATAATAAATATTGAATTAGTCAAATGTAGTCGAGACCGCCGAGAATGGAATTTTGCTGAAGAAATTTCTTTCGCAAACTGGCCGAAAATCCCTAAGCAAAATTTGTATTCATGTGAAGAAGAAAACGCCAACGAGAAGGCAAATCACGACATAAAAATATTTTATTTCTTAAAATTAAAAGATAAGCAAATTATTTGAAATTTTTTGATATTCAATATCCAAAGCAAATTATTCAATGTTTCAAAAACAAATGAATTAAGATAAATTGTTGCATAAAAATATAATTGAACATCAAGTCTATTCTAAATTCCAATAACTTGTGTTATCTTTCTTTATGTTGCAAATGCACACACTATAATATAAAGCACGCTTAAGTATTAAATCAAACGTATAACTATCTTATATTAAAATATTTTCATTAAAGAATTATATTGAAAAGACATCTCCCACTTGAGATATAAAAGTCTCTCTTTCTCGATTTATATTTTAGTTCAATTCATCTAGTCTGTGTTTGTAGTCCATAGAAATTATAGTAATTAAGATAAGATAAAATAATAAATGTCGTCAAATTTTACATTAAACCCCGCTATTTTACTCTCTTTATTAAACTAATACAGATAATTTTTACTTGTAAAAAATGCATGTACTTGTATAAATTATGTAAACACTTGAATATATGTAATATTCAATAATGATTATTTTGACTATAGTTGTTGTACATGTGCATGTACATAAAAGTAATAGTTAACAATAAGATTTTATGATGTATAATTTACAGATTTCTTCCTATTCCTTCACGAAATAAAATAATGAAATTACTATTATTACTGTTACTATTAAATTGCTATTATCATTATAAATCTATTTTTTCTGGCTATTAATTACATTTGTATACCTTTGCTAAAAAATCACAGTTTTTATTATTAATTTAATCGATAGATTTGAAAAACTTATATAATAATCTTATATAATATCTTTCCCCAACATATCCTCTTTAAAATTATTTTATAAAAATACATTGAAACATATTTGTTTAACATAAAATTGTGATATAGCAATGATATAGAATGGCATCTATGAATTAATTTTAAAATGGATTTTTCTTCATTTTTCTGTATATTTACCATAATATAAGCCTTGTTTTAAATTAATTAAAAAGATAAATTTGCTTTTGAAAATATTAATCAATTCAAGTATATACGTTATGTACACACAGACAAAATAATTTTATATGCATTTTACAGTCATATTATTCTTACAAATTTAATTAAAAATTCTAATTCTTTCAACATGCACATATGTATGTGTACAAACAACAATCACATATTCATCGACGTCATTAAAATTATTTTATTCATAATTTTAATTAAAAATAAATGTTGAAATATTTTTTCTCGAATCAGAAAAATAGTATTTAAACATCTTATTTTTAAAACATGCATACGCACTACACATTAAAATTTAATCCAGTAATTTTTATTAACAAAGAAAATTTAATTATTAAACAATGTGCATTGTCCATAAAAGTGATAAAATTCTTATTTTTAAATATATTAATTATATGTTTTATGAAAGAAACAGGAAAACAGAAAGAGAGATAATAATGCGAATATATAAAAAAGAGATATAATAATACGGGCACACGAAATGTCTCTTTTAAATAATATTTATTCTTATTTTAAAATATATCCACAACAGCTTAGGTACTATTCACAATTAGATTTTGATTTACAAGTATGTATATCCTTAAATACACACAATCGGCAATGAGATAAATCTAAGTTTATCAAACGACCGCTTACTCCGTAATGTTTTTAAATCGAAATTATTTAACTACGATCTTCTGATATACTGTCACTAATCTGATACTGATCACAGATCGTAGAACGTCGTCTTATTTATTTTCGACCAGACAAAGAATAATGTTTTCACGCACAATTAAGCATGATAATCACTTATACAAAAATTAGCAGCTGTCATGCAAAACTGACAGTTTATTAATCCTTCCTTGATATATATTGAAAAAAATTGTGCAACACTTCTTTTATATTTTTTAAAAAATTATAAATCTTCAAGTTTCAATGTTTATTATTAGAATATAGAAGCTTGATATAATAAGTGTGTAAAGATTTCTCTTCAAGCATTATAGAACGTGAAATTGAAATTTATACTGTCAAGATATTTAACAATAAAAATTCAAAATTTGTTATATATCCAATTTTGTAAAAATGGCTAATCTAATTTTATTATATGTTTATACTACATCTGTCTAAGATATATCATTTTTTAATTTATATATCATTATATGATGAGACACGCACCAAAATGCAAATTTTAAGAACTTTTGCCCAAAGTTTACTTTCTGAAATTTAGCTTGTTTTATTAATGCAAGTAATATGTATGCATACAAAAATTGTTACAGAATTTTAAAAACGTAATATAATTTTACTTTTCAGATCGACAACAACTTTTAAGTAAACTCGCTGAACTTTCTAATAACTATATATTTAATAAATGCGTTATATATAAATTGATATATATATATATATATATATATATATATATATATTCTATGATTTATCTGAATATATATATATATATATATATATATATATATATATATATATATATATATATATATATATATATATATATATCATAGATAAATTCATGTTTCGGAATCCTGTTCCTTTATCATTAAATGCATCCAGCTCATTAAGCATTCATTGTATCGTACCTTTCATTGCGTGAAAACATTTTCTCGTTCATGTCTGTTCGTCATACTGATAATAACAACATTGTCAGACAATTGATACAATTATACCACGTTTTAATTACTTAAATAATATTAAAAATAAATTAGATGGCAAAATCAGTCTTATGTAAAAATCTTGGAAAAGAAAATCAATTTTACCGTCTAATTTCAATATTATTTGTAAAAAAAAAATAAAATAAAATTGTATTAAACTCTGACAATATTGAACAGTGACCTAGTGACATTTCAATAGGTAAAAGGGATTTTTCAGCAATTAATGATTATCGCGGCTACAACGTCGAGCAAGATATAGGACAGTACCTAAAGGGAATTCATTTATTATAGTTAATTATTCGCTGCAATATAATAAGTGAGGTTCGTAGTATTTCTTAAAATAGATTTTTAATTCTCATTTGCTTAAAGTTTTGTGCAATTGGTTAGCCATTATTTCTGTTAGGTCTTCTCTGCTACTCTAATAATAATCGTAAAATGTTCATCAACTGGAAAAAACATAAACTCGATGTAAAAACAATTGAAATAAATGTCTTCAATTTTTATAATAATTGGTCTATAATAATAATATAACATAGAAAATGTATATAAAATATTTAAAATATTTTCATCATTTTTAGTAAACTCTGATCATACATTTAACGAAAATATCTAAATTTAACACTTGTAAAAATATAAATTTTAGAAGATAACAATCTTGTTTTACTAATATTATATTAAAGTATATTAGTTAACAATAAATAAATATATGTAATATATGTTGTTAATAAAGACAAATTTACAGAATATACATCGAGTTTATTTTCTTTCGCTAAATGCCTAAAATCGGTGATAAAGGTAATTTTTCATATGTACATGTGGCGGCTTAAATCCTTGTAGAAATATTTTCAATAATATTAAATGTTATATATATATATATATATATATATATATATACCACAATGATGACAGTATAATAATAATCAATAGTGATAATAGAACAAATCGGGACAGATATCAATAGTGTACAAAAATTAAAAGTTATTGAGCTACAAATACCCACGACGGATTTTAGAACATTATATTTTAGATACATACTATATATCACACATATGCATAACATATGTACATACATTTATACGTATTGTGTATAAAAAGAATGATCGGGTTGATATCTCGAATCGGAATGTAGCTATCATTACCATCATTTATTATTAAATCTATCTTCTGAAAATTAGAACATGTTTATTTTATAGATTAAACGTTAAAAATCGTATGCATAATCACACAAGTAAATATTGCATTAAATAATTCATCACTCGAAAATGGATGACTTTCGGAAAATCTGTGCATTTCTTTCTGTAAAAATGTGTAAGCAAGAAAAGATATAAAAATATATAATTTCAAAGGAATAATTCTGCATATTAAACTGCAAACATTAAATCAGATATATGAAACAATATTTTTAAATTTTCATTGCTACTTTATTTCATGCTAATAATTATAAATATTCTATAAATATATTCTATGCTATTAATTTGTTGCATATGTAATGCTTTTAAATTTTAAGTCAACCTTATGTTTTATATTTGTTCAACTTTTATTTTTTTAAGTCAACTTTAACTTCATATTTGCAAGCAATTCATGACAAAATATGTTCAAAGAGAATTTATTTTTATTCGATAATCGATATTATCTCAAACAATTTTTCACGCAATTTGATGAATATCAAAGATAAAATAAAACTAATTGTAAATGTAATTATTCTTATATTAAAACAAAAAGCAATTTAAAAATAAAACTTGAAAGTTTGCAAACATTTCGCAAGAACTTCACACTTCATAAAAGTGTGCCCTTTTTATTTTTAACAACGTAAATTGTTTTGGCTATTCAATTATCAAACATTTACTTCATAATGCGTGAAATTAAAATTTTAGAAATTTAACATTTCGCAGATATGCAACAATTAATATTTATTTAAAACAATCTATTAGCTACTAAAAACCTGCAACTAATTAAGAATTTATTATACATTTTCTAACATTTATCATTTTCGAACAAACATAAAGTTTTATCACAAAGCAATAAAAAATTATCTCATCTTTAGCAGCAATTTGCTGTAAAAAATAATTTAGAGATATTGTTCTACAAGATTATTAATAAGTTAATCAAAAATTTATACTAGAATAACAATTTCTGACAAATCATAACAACAAACTTCAACAAATAATATGCAAAATATAATTTATCGAGTTTCTAAAAGTTTTCAAAAAATATTCTAACAAAATTTCGATATATATATATTGATCGAACACAGACTATAAATACATTTCTCTGCGCAATTCCATAGATTCATTACTCTTTCTTATTTAATCTGTATGTATTATTTTTATATACATGGCCCTGGAAAGCTCATTGTCAATGCTACAGACGTAACATGTCGACATAACGAAATATCGATAATGAGAATATTAAAGTGCATTTGCTCAATATACTTACTTAGAACTTTCTGAACCATAAAATACCAAAAATATCTGAAACGTGTTATGCAAATTGTGAAAAATATACTTATCTCGGAGGAATAATAAACAACTTATATTGCTACATCAATCACAACAAAAATTTAAATAGAAAATTCACATTTTCCTTTTTCCTATATCTAGAATACATCAAGTATAGATTTTTCTTTTCTGTTTACCCATTCGATTAAAATAAAAAATAACGAAAATTATTAATTGCAAGAAGTGACCTAAGAGAGAAAAAAAATTTAGTTATAAAAGTCAAACTGTTCTATAATGCAGATTATCTTAATTTATCTTAATGAACAAATAATAATAATTTACATAAAATCCATAAATATGTAATATATACATAAATATATTGTATATAATCATTTATTTATATACAATATCAGATATTTATAAAGAAGTTAAAACTGGCAGTTGCAACTATAGAAAACTCCATTCACAATTTTATATTTTTATGCAGTGATTTCACGATTATTAAAAAAATGTCATAGAAAGTATATTAATTAAGAATCTGAAATTATAAATTGCGAAATTCATAAAACAAACCATCGAAGATATAGTTTCCCATGAACGATAAATCATTCATTCGTATTCGAAGAAAAATTCTGAAAAAAATAGATAAATGTTTACAATAGTGTAACTGTTTAATACCAACGAACAATTACTAAAACCTTGAAGATTATTCAGAGTAATAATCTTAATAACGTTAAAATCAAAATCATCTTAAACAAAGCGAAAAATAAAGCATCATGTAATGAAATTTATTTAATTATAAAAATCATTTTGTAAGAAATATATATCAATGTCCTGTGTATCATAATAAATAGACAAAATTTTTATTTTTGTCATATATACATATATAATTATATGAAAAACGCGGTTTAAATTTAAACACTGCATAAAGCTATAAGTGAAATGAGTTTAGAAACATTTAACAATACCCCTTTCATATATTTTACATTAATTCCGAAATATATATAATGTCAATTATGTAATATTTGGATCTGTAAAATCTATATACACCCACACATATACAGGATTTTACAGATTTAAATATTTACATAAATAAAATTTTATATATATATATTCTTTTTCTTTTGGACTAGGTAATGCTACAGTCTCTTTACTTCGATGTATTTTTTTTTCCATTCGATAGAGACCACAACAATGTACAATCCAATATAACTGTTTTAACAATAAAAATAATTATTTTTTTCTAGAGATACCACAGATTTCGGTAAACTAATAATGCTGCAAATCGGAGTAAACTTTTTTCTAATAACGAAAAGCTGCTCGGTTAAACGTCATTTACAAGGTTTTTTCAAAAATAAAAGAATTCTTTAATATCTAATTATATTATTTTCTTTGGCAAAAATTCTGCGAGAGTCTATCAAAGTCCAGTAGATAAACTCAAGACTAATAAGGTTAAATTAGGAAATTTTTATTCAAAATAAAATATATAAATTTCAAACTTTTAAAAAAAAGTTTATTTGCCAGTGTAAACAAAATGATTCTCTTTATTATCTTGTATTCCAATCAAAATCCGCACTGTTATGCACAATAATGCATTCTTGCAACAAAAATCTGTGCATTCAATAAATTTGATATATTGTCTGTTTTATGGATCAAAAACTTCTCGAAAAATTTATTTATTATTTCGTATAATTTTTTCCGCAATGAAAAAAGATGAATACGGAAAAATGCGTTTTAATGCATATTCTCTTAATGACTGCCTAATTATCAAAAAAACTTCTCAGAATTATGTGCGTTAACCTTCTTCTCTATTCACTTGCCTAATTGTATAACTGGTGTTAAAATGCCAATAAGTCCGCTTTAATTGAAGTTCAATTCCTATAATAATGTATTTCCAATTATAGAAATTAATTAATAATTGCGTCCAAAAATATACAAAAAGATTACGCAGTCATTCAAAAACATGTGAAAAAAACTATTTATATTTTAATATTCATAAAAGTTTATATTTTAATATTTATAAAAGAATATTTTTCACAATGTATCTATATTCTATTATAATAAATAAAATATTTATAGATAAAATATATAAATTATAATAGCAAGATTTGGTAAATCTCTGATTTATCTTTTTCTCATTCAATGATAAATGTATATACGAATATTATTTGTCAATAATTGCTTTGCAGTATATACAATACGATTTAAAACAAATTTACTGGCCTCCTACTCACCAATTATACAAGTTCTAACAAACGAAGCATTTGGATAAATAATAAATGTAATTACAAAGGCCTAACTCGCCATTTTTAAATTTACATAAATATATCTGGTGCATAAATACGTCAGGGCCATCACGGAGATTATAGAACCTTTGCTAGAACATCATTCATCGTATCATCTGTTGACGTTAATCGTTTGTGATTTAACAAACACATACATTCAGTTGGTTACTATAGTATCGGTAGAAACATTTAAGTTAGCAATAACAAATTGTCGATAAAGATCCATTTCTCTTTCTCGCTTTCTCATTCTCTCTCTCACTCTCACTCTCGCTCTCATGCTCTCTCTCTCTTTCGTTTCATAAAATAATTACGCACAGACGGCATCTCACAATTTGATATAACATATTTATATAGTATCAAAATAAATAGTTTCAATGCCATTGGTTCTGTTTCTGTATCAATTGACTGCATCGATTCAGCTATCACGAACATTTCTGGGCATTCTGCAAGCTATAGATTTTGTACTTCTGCTTGACCAATCTATAATTTATTACACTTGTTTTATGCGCACTTTTAATGATTCAACGTGTTTCCATCGACAGTTGTTCCTTCTTATCGCTATTTCATGTGATCTATACGATACCCAACTCGAAATGGCCGAGACGATTATTGAGATGAAATTTTTTGCGGACTCATAATTGTGTGTGATTCGTGAAGCTCACAACGCATCTCACTCACTTCACTAGTTGATAAAGCAATCAGTAACTGGTATTCGTACATTATTTATGGCAGGGATTGCTACAAGTTTTAGTGTTTTCTAGCAACTGCTAACAATATCGTTACTTTCCGGTAACAGCCTGGAACCTGGGTAGACAAAGACCGAATTTGCTTTCTATACCGGTGAAGATGGGCAGAGCTACTTGGTAGCCACCTATATGATCTGGATTCGTTGATCGAATTTCGTCTGCGACTCCCATGCTAGGCACCTTTAGTTCCGACCCGGAAGGTCGACTATTAAAAAACATTAAATATTATTTACATACATGTGTACCTATATTCGTTTTATATCAAATAAAAAATTATATTTAACATATTATATGCTCTAATTTATACTTCTTCAATTATATACTTACGATCCTCCAAAGTCGACGACAAACAACCTTTGCAGTACCTCATACGTGAAGAGAGTGACACCAAATTGAGGTGATGATCTGAACACTCGAGCTGTAAAATAAACAATGATCTTGGATACATAATCGTGAACATGTATACGCCAATTTCATCTTCTTTGTCCAAATAAAGATTTAAAGTGTTCCAATGACAAGCATGATGGCTGCCTATTTTCTTTTGGAAAGAACAAGACAAATGGACATTGTGTAATATTAACTCTTTTATATTTAATTATTATTTATAAATATATATTTATATAAATTATATATATATATATATTATATAAATATAAAATATATTTATATAATTATATTTATAATATATAATTATAAATAAAACATATAATTATATTTGTTTTTTTATTTATATGCGCATGTATAATTTCACACAATTGGATGACATTGTACCTTAAAACGAATGGAGATAGAAAAAATATCAAAAGGTAAAATTAATAAATAGTTTCAAACTTCACATTATGTGTCTTTCTCAATGTAATTATTTTCAATTATTATGTTGTTAATTTCATGAGATATCTGTAAATAAATATTAGCCAAGGTTGAGAAAATGCTAGTCAATAAAGAATTCAATAAATAAGTCAGTATAGAGCTGAAAACTTAATGCAATATGTAACTTAAAATTACAGTCATATTACATATTTAAATTATTATACGTTGCTAAAAAATTCGATAAGCAAAATTAAGTTTCTCTTCTTTTAAATAAATATGTATTATGTTAATTAAACAAATAAATATACACTAATGTCAATAAATTATATATTATATAAATTAATATAATTATTTTTATAAATAAATAAAATATACAGCAAATGTCTTATTGAATCGATGCAGTCAATGTTAGTAATTTTATAACATAATTTATTCAATTAAATTATTTTCTGCTTGAACAAAGACGAGTACCAATTTTGTTTTCAAAAATATATTTTCTCCCCATATTGTCCCTTATTTCACAGGAAAAAGACCTTAATATTTCGTTCCTATTATACTACTTTTGGTAAAAATCTGAAAACAATATTTTTATAATATACTCAACTCAGTATTGTATGTACGTCATAAAAGATTTACAGTTTATTGACCTGCATTTTCAGAGTTATAGCTGAAAATATGCATGAATAAGATGTCATGATATAAGTTATATTCGATGATTATTCTGAATACAAAGAGTAAGTATGTTGACTGCGGATTGCAAAAAGAAACGAGAACACAGGTAACGATAAATGAAGAGAAGAGGTACTTACTGATAAGTAAATCGCCGGGTCATATGGCGGAGGAAATAAGGTCGAAAGATGCAGCAGGGTCGATCCCCCGCGCATGCAATCGACACAAAAGCAGAATATATTACTAACTATATTTTCAAGGTTGCAACAAAAAAAAGAGAAATATAAAAATAGCATTTTACTTTTGCTCCTTACAGGAATAAAAGGATTGTAATTTGATCACTTAATTTTCTCTCTCTCTTTCTCTCTCTCTATCTCTCTGTGACAGAGATCATCATATATATTTCTAGACCAGGAAATCCTACAATTATTTTGATAGATTATTACGTTTGTATAGCTTACTTTCTTATTTCTTTTTCTCTTTTTGCGACAGCCATCCTACTGATATATGAAGCGTGTGATATCAGTGCGTTTATAAATTTTTAAAAAACTTTCCAGTGTACTTATGCAAGAATGATAAAGATATTAATAATCTCAAGAACTTTATTCGTAGAAAATACAAAATAAAATGATATACCTGTCGCGCCCTTCCAGAATGCCCTGGCACCCTCCTCCTTGTAAATTTTCCTTGCACAGTCCAGCAATCCGTTATATGTGGTTTGGCCTTCTCTAGCTACGACCTAAACAGATGAAACAAAATTATTAAAAAGTTCATGATATTTTTAATATCGACGATAATTAATAAGGTAAAAAACGCACTTGCAATCTCGTTTTTATTACATCCGCAGGAGTGACTAACGCTGCTGCAGGAACGCCAGCGATCGCACCGGAAACGAGAAGCGATAATGGCGTATTGTAACCCCCTTCGTCGGCCAATCGTGCTTTTGTGTGAGCGTACGCAGGGAAGTAAATGGCGCTAAATGGCACGTCTCGTAAAAAGCAGGCCCTAGCACCCTATAAAGAAAGAAATTGCAACTGTAAAGACAAGTTGTAAAAAGAAAAAGACAAGTAAATAAGACTAAACAGGATGTCATTATCACTACCCACTTTGTATAATCCAAAAAGACCTAATTCCTTGACGACGGCCCATGCTCTAACCTTCTGCCCTCCTGCGATTTCCCCGGCTACTTGTAACCGAATTTTTACAATCTCCAAAGGATTAGTGAATATGACCTGCGACGCTCCGGCCTGTAGAAAAAAATGACACTTTGTTGCATAAATACCTTATTTGTTCTCCGATTATAGAAGTATGCGATAAGAATACATGTGCGACCATCTAAATCACTGTGATATCTCATTATTCATATTCCTTGTATTGGGACATCTGCTCATCCGCCCATCTTGTGTCTCTCACTCTAAAGTTCATGTTTCATCTAGTTGGGAGCTTTAAGGCACTAAAAAGTACATGATACGATATGAAGTACTCACACAGGCACCAGACATAATTTCTCCATATAGTGGTAAATTTCCATTTTTATCCATAAATTTATCCCTGACGAAATCGTTAACTGTAAGTTTAATAGCCTTTTCTGGAGCTACTCCCATTAACTGAGGCACCAAACCTCGATAAAGACCGAAAACACCCTCATGTCGTATAACCTGTCAAACGATAATCACCAGCTTCTGATTAACAATGTAGACAGTGTTACACGTCGAGACGTTTTGATTCCAACCTTTTTGAAGCAATCGAAGCTGTTTCTATACATCAACTCGCCTATGAAAGACCCGGTTCTCTGATTCTGCAGTCTGGTCTTCACCAAATCGATAGGATATACAGCTGTAGCACCAACAGCTAAAAAAACACAATCACTCTATTTAATATATTTATTGCAAAATATACCTTAGTAATTATTATATATATTAATAATTCCAACTTTAAAGATAATAAAAAAATATATATTATATATTTTAAAACTTTGATATTATATATAAAAAACGATTGAATTATATAGAAAAATTTAATTTAATCTTACAATTTATGAGTTCATATATACATATCACTTGATATCTTCATTTTCACTTTTAAATTCTGTTATTGCATTAATAATAATATTAAATTGAAATTCACGCGAGTAAATTCTTATGAAGAAAATTATAAAGAGAAATTTTTTACATACCACCACCAATAGAACCAAGGACAAACCGATAACCACTCTCGAGCATTTGCACAAAAATACCACGTTCATCCGGACTCTGCAAGATAACAATACTTATTAAATTATGTTCTCATAAACAATTAGCATAAAAAATGTGTGACCAATTTTTTAGATCACAAAATTCTTTCATCGTTATACTTACTGACACCGCTTTGATTTCGGCAACACGTTTTGTAATCTGCTTGAAATACTGCTCAGGTGTAATAGCCACGAGATCATTATACACAATCTTTCTGAAATATAAAAAATGAATACGAGTTTAGTAAATATCAAAAAAGCTGCAATTATTAAATATAAATATGGGGAGAGATATACAAATAAACTGCTAAAAAACAGATGCAATGGCGTTGATGATATTGAAGCAATAAATAGAATCCTGCCAATATGATCCATCATGTGCTCTTAGATCTGTCTTAATAGAAGACATGATAATACAATTGTTAGTATATCCACGGCGTGCAAATTTGTATTTGCGTACACCACCGTCCTGAGATTAGACGTTGAGGATAGTAGGTGAGAATAAAAATATTATTGAGATATGCATATTTTTATATATAACAAGTTTATAGCACGTGATATTCTGTAATACAAAGACGCACCCAAGCCGCGAATCTGCCTCGTCATCTTCCGTAGGTCTGATCCAGGCAGCGTAAACACGTAAACAAACGTTTTCAATATAGGAAGCTTGTCTTAACAATTGTTCAAATTTGTTTTCGGAAAAAATAATAATTAAGCACACACTGTAGGCATAGAAGGCGATGAAAAATGATTCACTCAAGAAGATAATCTCCGTCTTCCTTGCCAAGAACAAGACATACTTGACATTTGGATGATGACGATGTGCTTGCTGGTGCAGATAGCATTACGTGACTTGTTTTCTTATTATTCGCATTGATCAAAATCAACATGGAAACAAGTCGCTCTTCAATTAATAAACCACAATTAATTTGCTGTAATTAATTGTTGAAGCGATCGTTCCATTCCACGAAATTTTCCCTCAACCAACAAGGAAGAAATATCAATATTTTTGAAAATACTCACCCAGTTTGATGGAGTAGATCGCAAAGATGAAACAGGATGTCAACCTCCAATGGGGTTATTTGGGACATCATTTGTGCCGAATAAAGAAATTCCTCTGTTAAAAAAAATTAATGTTTAAATATTAATAAAATCTATTGAAATTTATTGATTTATCAAAATCTAATAACCATCGTATTAATCAAAATCGATAACTATATCATAAAAAATAAATGATAAAAATCAATATCTAAATGATTTATATATTTATATTATACCTCTTATATCAATAAATAAAATAATTTTAAAAAATTCTGATAAACTTCATAATACTTATCATTATCTTTAAAATAAAATCTTATACCTTTGGTGACTTCTTGATATCTGTGACCATTAGTTGCATTTAAGTAAATACGTTTAATAAGTTCCATGTTGTTTAGAAGAGAGTTGAATGCCATAAAATATGGGAAACTGACTTTTCGCCCACTTTGGCCGGCACTAACTGCCTACAATACAATTAAAAATAAAGTTCTCTTTGTGTTTCTCATGTGTTAAATACTCCAGTATTTTAACCTTATTGTATAATATTATCGAAATAACTTGAACGCAAAAATAATAATTATTAACTTATAATACAATAACAAATATTGTGTATAAAAAAAATAAGCACGTTATAATTTAATTAGTAATATTTCTTTTCTTTAAATTATAAAATATCATTAAAAAATTTCTTTATTTACAAAATCTTCTATTTTCAAAATTTACATAATACTTACAGCAACTAGATTATCCTTCACATCTTTTGTGAGTAGATGACTCTTAATACTGATCATGATATCTTGAAAGTCTAACGCTGAAATAAAACCTTGTCCATCTTTGTCAAATTTCTTAAAAGCTTCTGTTGCATATTCTTCATGGAAGTCCTAAAGACAGATAATTTTAGAATTAAATCTTATTCTATATACGTTACCCTCATATTTATTCTATATATTCTATATGTTAATCTCATATTTATAAATTTTTATAATGAATCGAAAAAATAAGAAACAAAACATAAAAACAAAAATAAAAATCTTTATAAAAAATATATTTAAAAAATTTGATTTGATTTTTTTTATATCTTTGTATTTTTTACATAAGTTTTGCGTAAGTCAAATTCCATAAAATCTTTTAAAAGTTTCGAGATAAAAAATGTTATTTTCTAGTTTTCTAAAATATCAGTCGAGTTATACACGTAAAGTTATTGCGCACGATAAAGCAAATGTTATATTTCATCATCACTTGTTACATCATACTTGGCTCGTTTCCTAGCAAAACCAACTAAATCTGCAATCGAACGTACAATCAAGCAAAATACTTACATGCAAAAACTGACTGAATTCCGCGTAGTTGATTAATCTCTGCTTATCTTTCCCAAAGTAAAGTTTAACAAAGCTACTGTCCATATTAAAGGGCATTTTTTGATGTAATACGGTTTGCCGCATCACCTCAACGAACTCGTCTGCAATTCGAAAATAAAATAAATATACATATAAAGCATGTATATAAAAAAGAACAAGTTTTTTGATAATAATTCTTACCAAATGCAACCATTCCATTTCCATTAGTATCAAATAATTGAAAAGCTGTTTTGTATAAAGCGTCTGGTACACAAAGAAGACCTTCGAATGCTTGAAATTCGGCAAACGATATAAGTCTGAAATTAAAAAAAAAAAAATTATATAAAGTAAATTCTTCCACATACATTGTAAAACATTTTGTTCCTTTCTATTTGTATTTCTATTTTTAAATTTTTAAGTGTTTTATAAGCAGCATTTTTATTTGCATGCACACATACAATATTTAATAATATCATTGAAATAATATCTCTCTTATTGATTTTATATTGATTATATAATAATATTAGAAACTATATTCTCCTACTAATATTATAGATATATGACTTACCCATCTTTACTAGTGTCGACGATACCAGCAAGTAAACTGACAGAATCGGGATTATAATCAGCATCCGTATAAAGGCCAAGATAACTGCGCACAAAGTCAGATGCGGTCATAAATCGCTCACCATTCTTTTCCTGCGTGGCATACTGTAAAAATTCACAAAAAATTACTACGTGTATATCTAAAAATATTAATATTATAATTTTGTAACTTTGTAATTATGGTTGAAAATTAATTGCAATTTAATTAATTGCAAGCAATATATAAAAAATATGTAATAAAATTTGTATTACAAATTAAAAATGTTATATACAATATTCAGAAACATTGCAGATATGTGCAATAAGTTACTTTTTACGACAGAATAATTCAATAAAATAATTTAAAAAATATTAAATAATAAAAGAAATATACATTTTAAAATCTTACAATAATGTTTCTGTAAAACAAAAAAACTTAAGCACTTCAGTACTGACCTGATTAAAAATTTCATGGAGGCGTTCAGTATTTGCACGCTTTAAGTACCCGGAACCCTGAAATATAACACATAAGAAATAAGAACAAAGTAAAAAGAGCATCTTATATTATATATCTAAAATTCATTAAATTAAATTTTATATACATATATTTATAGAATACATATGGTTTTCTTCTAGTAGTTAAAAGAAGAAATTAACATAGTAAAATTTATACCATCAGAAATTTCCAAAATAAATAAGAGCTTGTAATTGCAATTATTATAAGAAATATCAAATTGTTTATTAATTTATTAGATCCCTCAGTCATGACAAATTAATTCAAATTTTATATACATATATTTATATTTTACACACATTGCATCATTAAAAACCAGGTGCGGTTAGCAAAGCGCAGGTTCTTTTCTGCTAATGACAATCTATTAATTAATTATGTAAGTATACATTTCAGTCCCTGGACCATCATCAGCAACTGACTCAAGCTAAAAAGTATATGTATACGACCTTCAATAACTTCAACGATCCCCACAATGGTTATGATCGTGATAAAACTTCTTCCGGCAGTCGAGAACAGAATTACCTGACCACAGTTGTTCGAAAATTTACTTGCCGAGGATGGTCTAATTCAGGAACTGACAAGAACGTACACTTATATAGAATTAATTAATAGATTCTTAGAAATTCTTAGAGAAAAAAAGAATCTTCGAATAGCTAACCGGGCCTGACTCTTTAAGAAGCCATTTCCTGCTAGCTAAATATTTAATACTGAGAACTTAAGATTTCATTTTTAAATATATAAGTATTAAAAAAAGAGATGTACTTTTTCAAAAGTATATATTAATTAAATAAAATTATATATATTTTTATTTAATTAATATATTTATATTTATTTCTATATTTTTTTAAAAAATAATCCCCTCATACTAGTTATATCTAGAAAAAAGTTGTGTGCTGATGTGTTAATCAAAGATTAATAAAAATTGGAAAAATTTAATCTTTTTTTTTAATATAGGTAAATTAAGAGTAAATATATTTACTCTGTATGAAGAGAATAATAGAACATTAAAATGTATGTGTATACATATATCTTTGTGCTTATGTTGGAATTTTTGCACTAATATTGTATAAGAGATTTACTTTTTGTTAAAATGCATATAATAATTATATTTTTTAAACGTTATATTTTCATTATATAACTATATTATTATATAATACTATATTATTGATAGCATAATAGTGGAGATAATCCACAAATAATTTCTAGAGTACTATTCACATTTGTATGTATATATAATCAACAAATAACGAATATCTCAAATGAATAAATTGAACCAAAACAGAATGAGCAATGTTGATAAATTAATTGATACGCAGTTATATCAGTATCAATAAATTAAAAATGATATAAAACTGAAATAAATTAAATAATAAAATTATTATTCTTACAAATTTCGAACATATAATATGATCAATTTTTCAATTTCTAATTTTTGCTTCAATACCATTTTAAAAATATCAAACTGATACATTTGTGTTAACGTTCTAACAACGTAATCTATGAAAATGCGTGATTGCTCGGACCGGATACCAGTAATGCACCGCTTTGCATGAATAGATAATGAGTGTACAGGATGTTTCACTATAAAGAGTGCAATAAGACGAAAAGTGTTTCGTTTAAATTTTAAAAATATAAATGTAATTTCTTTTATTTTTTATACGCAAGATGTCAATTTAGAAGTTTATTTTTGTTTTAAATTTATATAATTTTTAATAACTCTCTCTATTAACTTTGTTTCACTGTTTATCAAAATATGAATTAAAAAATGCATTATGCTCAAATTTTTTATTAGTTTAATACCAAAAATATTATGTATGCTAATTTCTTCGGATTTTTAAATTCAATAATCTAAAATAATTCAAAAAATAAAAATAATACTTTAGTACTTTAATATTATGATAAAAATAATCTCTTGATAATATGTTGTAATATGGGACTGACGTAATGAGAGGTTTCTGGACAAGAAAGGAGTAAAAATGATAACAGAAACTTCAACACAAGAAGCAAAAAAAGAGAAACCTAAAATTTAAAACTAAATTTAAAAATAAGAAGAAAATACGTTTGATTGAGGAAGGAAAAGCAGCGAAAATAAAGATTGGTTACAGAAAATTAAGCCAATGAAAAGAAATTCTGGAAAGAAAAAGAAAGTTTAAAGGAGCAGGATTTTTGAACAAAGTTCTATGCATTCATAATCATTGAGCAAAATCGCATGAAAAAAAGCGGAGTAAAAGAGTTGAAAATCAGATAAGTTGAAGAAAGACAATGAAGATTTAAAAAATAAGAAAAATCAAAATAGAATTTTAGAATGTAGTAAAACTAGATAATAAGAATACGCAATTTTGAGATTACATTACGGAGTTTCACATAATTCGAATGATTGAAAATCTGGATGAAAGAAAACCTTGGAATAGATCAAAAGAGTATACGTGTCGAAGGACTTCAAATGAATTGTCAACATGCCAAGAGAGAAAAATAAAGAAAGAACAATGAAAAAAATTATTACTCAAGTAAAGAAAAATTTAAAAAAAAGTGAGCGGACAAGGTTGAAAAAATTACATATAAGACATAAGTAAAAAGTATAAAAAAAATATTTGGAAAATTGTAATTTAATAATATATTATAATAAAAACGGAATAAAAATTATGAAAGAAGTCCAAAAATTGAATACTTGAAAATAATGAAGGAAATCCTTTACGAAGAAAATTCGAATGCTATATAGCACACAGGATATGAATTATTTTTTTCACGTCAATATTATACTGTATGTTTTACGTAAAACTCCTTAAAAAGCTGCAAAGTAAGAAATAAATATATATCTATCTATAAAATTACGATAGAAAACGAAGAGGCAACACACACACACAAACATACATACATAATGTGAATATCTGTGTCATATTGTGATTATTGTGATAAGATCGATAAGATAATGCTCACAAGAATGTCAGACATTTTAATAATCTTCAATGACATAATATAAAAATAAAGAATATCAACGAAATTGTCAAGGAAATACCTATTCAAATTTTTAGAATCTCTAATGATAAACAAATAGAAAAAGAAAATAAAAATGAATATAGCAAGTATAATGGAAACTCGTAGTTTCGGGAACTTATTTAACATGAGAAAATAAATAATCAATTCAATATCATTTTGTGCGAGTTCAAATCGTGATTCTACCTTCTAAAGCATGTCAAACATCGATCGCTTGCAATTACTACCTATTATATATTAGCAAGGTTCCTCAAATCCATACATACATATATATGTATTATATATATAAAATGCAACTAAACTGCATCCCGCAACTGAATTAAAATTATTAATTCGATCTCAAAATATTCGCATGCAATAAATAGGACAAAATGCGATCGTGACGTTAATCATGAGTCAACTATTACATGATAAAGCTCATATATAGTATTGTTTATTGCTAGATTAGAAATATTGTGTAAATTCATGCTGAGTAGATTAAATGTATTTACTCTCATGCGTACTCTTATCAGTTTCTAGCTTCTAAATTTAAAAATATAAAATTATTTGAGAATGATGAAATTATATATATATATATTTTTATAAAAAATTATATATATGTATTGCAAATTATAGTCTCTAGTACTTATTATTTTACCAATTTAATAACAATTCCATTTAAATATCTCTGTTGATATTAATAAGAAAATGTAGACAAAAAAAATTATTATAGGTATATACTATACATATGTATATTACATTACATGAAACATAAATAATTTATTTTAATAATTTGTTATACTTTAATAATTTTAATAATTTAAAAAATGTTTTTGCAACAGAGATATTTCATATGATAAAGTTACACTGAAAAAAATTTAGTTAATTCTTATAAGTATTTATTTTAATACTGTCAAATAAATCATTTAATTGAAACTAACAATTGACAGTACTGAACTAAATATATATTAATTTAGTCATTTTTTCAGTGTAGATAAAACATTCTAGTTAATTCTTATATTTATTTCAATATACTGTCAAATAAATCATTTAATTGAAACTAATAATATTTATTTGATATAAGAGAAAATCCTTTTCGAAACAAATAAATATTTCTTTGTTTCAAATAAATGCTTCATTTGCCAGTATTGAATTAAATATGTATTAACTCAGTCATTTTTTTCAGTGTAGCTAAAACATCCTATATAACGCTGATAGACAATAATAATACACATGACACATGATGCCTGGAAGGCTTGAAATTAAGAGTCCTTGAGGCAAAAGAGTGGGTGCTTTTCCCGCCTCGGCTGTGCTCGGCACTGTTCACCTTAATTCGAGGTTATGCTTATCGACAATACAAGAGGCAAGAAGAAATACGTCCTTCGCGAGGCGTACAAATACACCTACTCTCGTAGTCGGCATGCTGGCTTTATTGGGGCTGCTGGCTGCTAAACTAGGGCTAACACTAAGCTACAGTTTGACGGAAGGTCTCAGTTCCTCGTTATCGATGACGACCGTACGGCAGCCAGAGGCGATGACATCGGGCAAGGTTACGTACGATGGAGAAGCGCTCGCGCACCACGGCGATTGAATTTTTTTTCTCCTCCAGGTATCCCCCGTCGACGCAATGACGTGTCAAACAATTAAGTACACGTGTGCGTTCGCGCGAGAGAGAGAGCGAGACGGACGGCCGGAAAACGCGACTGGCACCGGAGCAGCGCGATCAGCACGCGAACGTCACGAGGGAACTGAATGTCAGCAGCTGATACGTGAGAGAGGAGAGACGACTATATCTCGCCGTCCCACCTCCTCCGCAACTTGTTAATTTCGTCTTTTATTTTGCCGCTCGTTCTGTTCCCTCGCTCGACTGGCTCCGCTTTCTCGCGAGTATTGTCAGCTTTTTTTTACACCGCTCCCTTTATCGTATTTGTTTTGTTATCTTTTGGTCGCAATTCTTCAAGAAATCTTTTATCTTTTATCGTGCAACAATGCGCGCGTCAAATGATGAAGTTACGAGGCAGATTCTTATTTTATGACTATTTTTTTCTCATCGCTTTTTTATTCTTCCTCAAGTACGTATATGCTAAAATTTATCTTGGGTGTAAAAGTTTGTAAATTTGTAAAAAAAAAAAAAAAATTAATTAAATTATTATTAATAAATGAAAATATAATAGTTTTATATTTTATAATCGATATACGCAAAGAGCGCGAGTTTTTTTTTTTTTTTTTTTTTTGACAGATATGATGAATGATGTCTATCGAATGCTTTATATGTTTTATGTAAAATAAAAATTAATAACATTGTGTTTTATTTATACTAAAATTCTTTTAATACGAGTCTAAACTATGTGCTAAACTTTAAAACGTTGTTTTCCTCAAAAATATTTTTAGAACTGGTTGGCATAACACCTCGAAGCAAATAAACCGACTTCAAATTTAATACACGTGTAAAAAAATATATTATTTGCTCGGCAATAATATAATTTTAATTAATATTATTAATATTATTAATTAATTTTGATTATTTTTAGATTGAATTTACAAATTGATTTTATTTCGTGTAGTGTAAAATAAATATAAATTACAGAAATTAAGTCAAAGTTAAAAACAGAAACAATTTTTCAATATTTCTATCTAATTTTATTATTTTATTTTCATTCATTGTTTGTGATGCACACATAGATTTTAATTATTTTAACTCTGAAAGAGAGCCATATCACTTTACAAAATGTTTTTTTAATTAAAAATCTTTGTAATTAAAGTGATTAAAAGAGAAATAAAGTGATACGAGAATATAATTTTCTGTTCGAAAAATTCTATACCTATTAGCTCAAATTTTTTTTATCTAATTTCTTTAATGTAATAATTAATATATAATACTATTGCAACAAAAATTTTATTGCAATATCAAATAGACAACATTAAATAATTTTATTAAATTAATTGAAAACCGCTAATTATTGTAAGCTATATAAATGAAAATATTATATAGACAATATATTAGTAATTCATTATAAATAGTTTTGTCTAATTTTTACAACTAATCGTATTATTGCAAATAATGCAGCGATATAAAATCTATTAAATAATAGTTTTGACAATTTTTAATTTTCGTAAAAAAATTAAAATATTATATCGAATAATATTATATATAAATACATAATTTTTAAAAATTGGAAATTTATTGTTAAAATTAATTTAAATGGAGAAAAGTTTTTTACTATTCCGTTTTATTACTTAACAGATTTTATACTCGAATATCTAAATTAGTTATGTTAATTGAATGACTGTTACGATTAAACAGTAACATCGAAATATAATTTATCTAACAATAAGTGATTAATACTTTTTATTCACTTATATCTCAAATAAGACATTTCTATACTAGATATATCTTTTTTATATATATTAATTTAACACTCTAATTATTTCTTACAGTTTAAATATAAATAAAAATGTGTTTTTTAATAAAATAAATAAAAAAATAAAATAAAACAAAACTAACCTCATCGGGTTCAGTGATTCTCTTCTCATTCGTCATAGTTCTTTTTCCTTCATATAGATACAATAAATCACCGTCTTTCCAAAAATATTTTTAAATCATCTAAATAATATTCATTTCATTGGGGTATACACACTTTTATATACGTTACTTATATTTCCAATTAAAAACCAGTATTCTCGTTCCTTTTTTGCCGTTTAAATTTATCATGCGAATGTTATAATTATACTGCAATTATACAAACATGAGAAAACAATAAGATGTTTTCGTTACATAATGCAGTAATCAATAATCATCAATCATAAATTGTTTCCAAATATTATGGCATTATAACATGCTTATGTAAACAAAATTTGATCAATTACTGTCACTATGCACTTATGCACATGCAGTGCATTATCTTGAATTATTACATTATGATAAATATAAAAATATCCATAAAAAGATAAAAAAACGACATGCACCAAAATACGATATCATTTATTTACGTTCTAATATCTAACTTGAAATAAGAATTTATATCTAGAGATACTTACTAGAAATTACTCTGTATATCAGACAGATTACAATTTTAATACTGTTCAACTTTCGATAGTCTCTTCAATATTTTTTTAAACGGAAATTAAATTTAAGAAATTAATATGATAATATGATAATAAAATATATTAAGATATATATTATATATATTAATTCTGAGAAATTAACAAATATTAACTTAAAATTACAAAAACATAATAAAAATATAAAAAATACTGTTTAGTAAAATCATATAAAATTAAGTTTAAAATTATATTGTTTTTCATTTATTTATAAAAATAAATACTTTTGAGAACGCCCTCTTTATCTTTTAAAATTGACATATTTTATGCGAGATATTTGTAAACAATAAATACAAAGAAAATTAGCTGATTTTTCTTATATTGTTTGAACTGAATACTTCAGCATCTCTTGATATACAAGTTACGAGACACGAAGATATATGGAACTATGTAATTTAATTTTTCTAACAGTAATGTGAAAACGTAATAAGAATTAAAACAAAAATGAAGCATTCAACTAATGGAAAAATGGGTTATTAAAAACCACAGGCGCGGTTAGCAAAGCGCATTCTATATCTTCTAATGTGAATTCATAAATTAATTCTATAAATATAAGCTTTGATCTCGGAATTGGACCATCTTCAGCAAATGAATCAAGAGTGCATTCGATCTTTAACAACTCCAATGAATGTATACTCTTTAACTTGATTCATTTGCTGATAAAGGTCCAATCCAGGGTTTGAAACATACATTTATAGACTTAATCAATAAATCTCTCATTAAAAGAAAATGAATCTGCGCTTTGCTAACCGCCGACTCTTAATAGCTCAATTTCCAGTTAATTAAAGATTCAACTTATCAGACCCTTAAACTTCATTTTTGAAAAATGAAACAATCTAGAAACTGGAAACCTACAAACGTAACGTAAAAATAATGTATTATCAAAAAAAATATAGTGACTCTCTCGCAATTCGTCCAAAAAAGCTTTTGTACTTCAAAAATAACTTAATACTAATTAAACTGATTTAATATATAAATAGACAAGGAATGAGCTATTTGTATCCTGAGTAAACTAAGTAAAGATCAAACTCACATTAGCTCTAACACAGTGTAATTAACTACTAAGAATATCTTTTCTCTATAATATCTTTCCTACAAAGAAAATGTTGAAATTGTTATAGTAAATTTTATAGATCAAAGTATAAGACAAACTTTAACTCTCTTTCTTATAATTGAAAAATAACATGTAATTATTATTATTAATTTTTATTATTAATAATTTTTATATCACACTATCATACTATTAATAATAATATTAAATATTTCTATAAACTGTGAATAAACATAACGTTAAAATTAATCTTTGTAATCAAACTTTTGATTATCTTGTTGAAAAATTAATATATTTACATTAAATTAATATATATCTTAATATATGTTTCTTTTGTGTAAATCAATAAAAAAAAATTTTCTAAAAAAATTTTAATTGATAAAAAGAAAAGAGATAATCAAAATACACCGATATATAAATTCATGCTAATTATCTCAATAATAAATTAGAAATTTATTTAGGCTAATTTCGATTAATATTTAAGATTTTTCCTCTTTAGAGAAACAAATGAATTTTATTCTTTAAAAACTAAAGTTATTACTGAATATGGTCGTATCATAAGGTGATACTATATAAGATTTTTAAGATCTTTAAATTCTCGAAAACTAATTCATAATTGAAAAATATACATGATATATGCAACAAATTTCCTAACGACTCAATACTTTTTCAGGGTGTCTAGTAAAATTTGAAAATAAAATTTAAGGACATGTCCAGGACATTTCAAGAAAATTTGCATGATTTTCTACTATTATCATAAATTTTCTAATAGTATTATAAAGATGTACAAGAAACTAAAAACTTTATTTTCTTTCAAGTCGACATAATTGCATGTTAATAAAAATTAATATACGCATTAAAGTCTCTAAATAAAAAATATATTGTATTATTTACAAAGTAAGATAAAATATTTTTTTCTCAAATAGTCTGAATGGCTACTTTAACTGAATGTTTAGAAGCAACGAAAAAACTCAAGAATATACGAAAAATTGAAGTGCATTTCCAAGATGTTTAAAGAATAAACAAAATTCCGAATCATTTCAAGGACTTGAAGGATTTCAAGAACGTCTAGACACCCTTTTTTGACTGTATATAAAGAATCATGACACAAAATGGTGACAAAAACGAATGTCGAACAAACCCAACTCTCAAAACTTGAAAAACATCGCACTATAAATTCTCAGATCGCTGCACTCATCAATCTATATCATCAGTAGCAATATCATGATTTCTAACAATGAGAAAGCGATATTCTCGATCAATCGAGTTACTTCGACTACTCTTCGGATCGCACTAATGCGCTAATTCGAGAATGCACAGGTTCACTACTAGAAGTACGCAATACAACTGCAGCAAATCGGGAACGAAAATGAGAAGAGGTGGTCCATGGCACCGTCTAGAGTCCCCGATTTGCTTAAATTGTAACGCAAAACTGTTATAGAAACACCAGATATATAATAGACCAACCTAGTAACATAGTAAACCGATCGTGTGTCTATAGAGAAATATATACAAACCCAGATTAAATAATCAATAATCACCAATCAAATCCGCCAATTGCGCATGCATTGATTTTTGGACATGATGGTATTCATAGAATCTTAATGAATATGAATTATACCTCATGACTATTGCATAGATTCCGTATTTTTTAACAGTGTAGAACATATACATTTCATTGATTTTTTTTATCAAACA